CAACTTATAAGAAAATTTTATGTAACTAATGTTTAATATAAATATATTTTTAATACCTACGTTATTACTTAGTCAACTACATCATGGCACGTGCAAGACACGTGCTTCTCACTAGTAATATTATAGAAATTCGTTTGATAGCAAAAATAATTTAAGAGACACATGTGGAATAACCTAATTGTTTTGTGTAAAAGGTTTATATTTTATTTTCTTCTAATTTTTGGAAAAGGTAAATATTGATCATGTGGATTTTCTTTAGCCACAATAAAGATTTCTCGACAATTCTTTGGTGATTTTTATTTTAAAACTTGTATAATAGAAAATAAGTCATACAAGATGTATAAATTTAAGTGGGATTGTTCCAAATAACAGAACAAATTTACGATATATGCAAATGGTTAGTTGAATGGAAGCATGTTGATACATTAAATGCACGTTGAGTTTACTTGGAAAGTAAATTCGCATGTCAACGTGCATAAATTTTTTGAATACATAATACATTTTGCGAATCTTGTCTACTACTCTATACACAACCTTTGGAAAAGGGCAAAAAATGCAAAGAAATTTTATTTTTAGCTTATGGATATTTTTAAATTAAATAATTGCTTAGGTTCAAGGATACAAAAGAGTTCCTTCTTGAGTTACTTTGAGGGCATTAATGGTACTATATATCGTCAGACAAAAGAATATGTAAATAAATAAAAGAAATAGAATTACACAAACTTTAAAAATTTGAGGCCTTAGGCGATCGTCTAGATTAGCTAGTTGTTGAGTTGACTATGAGGAAAAATGTTCTTACGGAGGATTTTTAGTTCAATCTAACTTTAGAACGTGTTAGTTTGAGTTGCCAATATTTTTTAGGTTAAATTGTACATGTCGGCCACTACTTTTGTAGTTACAAAATCTTTATTTGACTCTCGACTCTTCCGAGGCAAAAAATTCTCAGATGCCAAAATTAAAGATAGGCCATGCAATTGGAACGAGGTCTCAACAGAGGGAATCATAGTATTGCACAAAATCTTTATTAAGATTTTGGCAGGAAAAAGAAAAAGGAAAAAACATTTGAAATTAATGTGACAATTAATTTGCATCAAATAGTATGCATAAAGCGTGTTTGTCCACTTGCCTCTTTGCAATATGTTCTTCTGCCTTTTTCATCTCTTTTCTTCTTTCAGAATTGGAATAATTAGTGAGAGAGAGAGAGAGAGACCTCACAAAATCTAAAACTGATCCTTGTGATGCCATGAACCGCCCTCGTTCTCGTTTATCTTTAGAAGTTTGACATTCTTTTCTATGAAACACATTTTTGCAGACGTGGTTCAACACTTACATATTTATTCATGAACGAGGATAAGAAAAAATATTGCTAAACAAAATGGGAGAGTGCAAAAGACTAACATGCATTCAATCTCGACTCCCAACAAATTAATGAGCTAGGTGACAACACAAAAAATTACAAATTACTTAAACCGAAATTTCACATACTTTTAAGGATTATGTCACTTTGTCATAAGCAGTGACGGAGTGTAGGTAACAGCAAATAATAATTTGGATGAAAAATGTGTTTTAAACAGTGTAAAGATAAAATGTCATGTAACATTCCATCAACCTATTAATGTCAACTTATCTGACTCCGTAGCATGGTTGTACTTTTAAAGTATGTATACTAACAAAGCATGCTCAAGTATCACTAGACAAATTCCTTTGCTATTACAAAGTCAAAATTCATGTACATACAATGAAGAACACGGCTCTTGGGATTATTTAGGGTCAGTTGAGCCACTTGTTTTGAAATGCCTTTTTGTGTACGGATACATCATACATACATTCGTACATGTACTTGTACATATACACGCATGAACATCCACATATTCCAACCGTCTTTTTAAGTTCTATCTAAAAAGATTAATCTTATATAAGTCCCTATTTGGAGCACATTTTCTTGTTGGAGAAAATAATATTCTTTACCGTCATAAGTATCTTCATGTTGGATCATCAAGAACTTATTAATCAAAAGCGGAAGTTTACCTGAATCAGACATGATTATCGCAATGAACAAGTCCAGCGATTTTAGTCTTCTAGATTAACACGTTGTTCCTTTGTCTCTCTCTGAAGATGAGAGTCAGAATA